AGGTAAGAGCGTGCGGTGTGAGGATTCCATAAGATAAACATACTCACTGCCGGCCCCGACGACGCCAGTCACGTAAGGGGTTCTGGCACATTTCTCACACTTACAGATACCGAGATTATATGAATTTTAAGCGCGCTGCACTGCACTCGATTCACGAATATATCCAAGTCTTATCCGTGACGGTCTCATCGTTCAACGGATGGATCTCTCTTTCCCTGATATCCCTCCCCCCCTCTCCCTCTCTCTCTTTCGAGTTTTAACAAAGCTTCGTTTCAATAAAACGAAGTTCAGAAGAGCGAAAGAGTTATTCGAACTGTAGAGCTTCGTTCTACATCTATAGTTTTCACGAAAAAAAAAAAATTCTTTCGTCTCTATTTATATCGCTAAGAGCGCAATTTGTTACAATTTTCGTTCGGAAAAATTGTCGTTTGAGAGCCGTATAGATGCCTGACAATCGTGCGTTTCACGATTGAGATGACTGGAGGATAAAAAAAATGAAATAATTGAAAATTGTTTTTCGTTTGATCAACGTTTCTTTAATAATTTTGGGACGTCCATTAATGTTCTTAATTAATTTCCACTCTGAAGGATCGCGCGATCATTTGTCGATCGAATCTCGGACGCTTCTGAATGTGCTGGCAATTCGGAAATTGTGTACGACGCACACACGACTACGTCACGCGTCGTACGTCCCACTTGGGGCTACGATAATAACCATTGTCATCGGCTTGGAATTTTCTACGCAGGTGCTCATATGACGAGCGAGTTGTACGTTCCTTTAAATAACGATCTGTCATTTATCGCTTTCACAACGCATGACATCTATCCACTCTCACTCATGGTTGCGCGATATTATTCTCACGGTTAAAACTTGTCGCAAAATTGTCCCGGATATTTTCCCGGAGCGAAATCTCCATTAACGATATTAATCCGATCGCAGGGCAAAATCGTAAATTCCAACGAAAGCAAAAAGCAGAATTTTATCGCCACGACGAAATATCGCCAGGCGGAAGTTCCCCATTGGCAGTTTACGAGCTATACCGCCGAGCGATATTACGCGCGGTCAAATTTGCCCTTCTTCAATATGCAAATATCGTTTTTCGCGTAAAGCTTCCTTTTTACGAGCTTACGTTTATCATGTTAAGCAAAATCGACACGTTTCGCGGCGATTACCGGCGGCGGCGGCGGCGGTGTAGGTTGAACGCGTTAATTTGCGCTCAACGCAACAGCGAATCGATCATCGATATTACACCAAATTTCTTCTTTTGACACATGCGGTCTCGCTATCGCGGTCATTAATAATAACGAAGAAACGAGACACACATCGTGACACTTAGCAGTTTTAAGCGATTCGCGTATCGCGAATCGAGCTCGAGTTCTTCCAACAGACTTGGATTCGTGACTTCGATTCTGTAATGACATTCCGAATGTGTGTTAGGCACACACATATATCTAGCTCGTATCTTTTCTTCTTACGGGGCGATACTTACATTCCGTCACGTCCCTCGAAATTCGACGCGAGATTTCTGGTGGATCCGCGCGCTTCTCGAATCGCTTATCGAATCGCATGCGTGCTTACGTGACTCGACATGACTGGGGGGAGGGGGGGGGAGGGGGTCGAGAGTGCCCGCGGGTCTCTCTCGGTCTCTCTTACCTGATATTTCCTGATAGAATGGAGCTGCTGCTGCGTCGGTTCGGCGTTATCGCTCGTCTCAACATTATTGTTTTGCGTAGAGAAGCGTAGATTATCTTTCGGCGGTCTGGCAGGTGCCTTCTTCTGATCGCGGGGCGGGATGGCAGGCTTGACCCCGTTGAGACTGGCCTAAAAATTCATTCCGAAACAGCTCGTATTAGTAGTCCCCACGTGCCGCCCTGATGCCGCGCGCAAACTATTCTGCTAAATTTGCCAACTCTTTTCGTCTCGCCTAGCATTCCATCTCGGTTTACTTTTCCACCTTGGTTACTTTCAGGCAGACTATTCGTACACCCCCACGAGTCGAATGAGAGGCTTCGTGAAAAGTCCCGCGGTGGGACTTTGTGTGTATGCGGCACGCGTACACACAAGTAAAGAAGGATAAGAGGAAAGAGAAAGAAGAGGAAGCGCGCTGACGCAACAGATGAGCGAGAGAAAGAGGGAAACGAAGTGAGAGGAAGTAAGAGATGCATGCGCAAGCAAGAAAGCATGTCGAAAGCAAGATTGTCGAATGGAAGTAAAGCGCCGTGATTCAACAGCGATCGTATCGGAGATGAAATAACATATTTCTATTTATTTATTTTTAGCAATTTATTTTTAACAATTTTCAAAAATTTATATCGAATTCTTTTTTTCTTAATAAAATAATATTGACATAGAGACTTTGTATTAGACTTTTATTTATTTTATTTACTCCGATTGTAAATTCATTCATGATAAATTCATTTCTCCGTTCGAGATATATTAATTGAGATATGTAATTTACGAGTGTGTTTATCAACATCATTCGCATGAATCGACGGACGCACGTAATTTACTCCGCAAGTTTTGCTGCGCGGTTCGTCACTATTTTACCATGCTGTTGACGACCACGCGCATTAAATATCTCGCATTCCTCTACGCATGCCACTCATTTTGCGTCTTCAATTGAACGACGGTCCTTGCACATCTTTCTCTTTATTTATCTTTTGCAATAATAAGCGCGATAATAAAATGAATTTTATTCAAATGTCGTACGTAAACGTTTAGGTAAATGAGTCGAGCATTGTGTGACTTTTTATTCAGCGATTTGACTTATTCAACCGATATTATCGGTATCAAAGAACTTACTTGATACATACGAGCGATGCGAATTTTTTTTAACGATGCAAGAACACCGTTCGAATTGTACGACGAAAGCTTCCGGGCAAAGTCCATTGCGGTTTACCTGCCGTTCGAGAGCGTCGACGTGCGAACATGATTTGAGCGAAGGATTGTCCAAAGTGTGCATCTCTCTCGGTGGTTTCAATGCGCCCCGCTTCGTATGTCCGTCATAGTCAGGTGCGTCGTGTAAAATGATCGAGCGACGATTAACCTTGTTCCTCGACGTTTCGTCCTCCGTACGTCGGAGGAAACGTCGTGCGATTCCCGACACTGGGACAAAGTCGGGAAACGAGGAATGTCTCGTGATGATGCGCGCCGATGTGTGCCGACGGATCGTTAAATTCGTCGAAAGGTCGGGCATGCTTCTCCAACTGACGTGAAATTTCACGCCATTGTTGGATGGCACGGACGAAACGTCCCATAACTTGAAACACCTATATTCGAAAGACAGCCTCGAATTCTTCTGATTCTGCGTGTTTGGCGAATCGTCGAGGCAGTTTTGTTGCGCGCCTTTGTCACGTCGTCCTTGGTTTTGTGAGTAAAATTCATTAGAATCACGCGTGTCGTCGAATAGACAACGTGCAGCAGCGATACGCTGCTTCGCGGAGGAGAACTCGCGTAGGGAATTCCGAGAATTTTGATTCGCTTCTTGGACGAGGGACAGCTGGTCGTTGTCTGCAACTTTGAGAAACGAGACATCGTTCTCGAACAATGAGACGCTAATCTCGTTCGGACAATCGGAGACAACCTCCTCGGCTTCCTTCTCGAAACCGACGGATTTTTCCGAAGAGAAGAGGATGCTCGAGCGAGCGGAAACGCCGATCGCTCTTGAGAGAGGAAAAGAAGTTGCATTATTATCAGCTTCGTCGGGGAAGGGCTTCCGCCAACTCTTGGGGAGTTCCTCTCGAAGAACAGAGGACAACGGATGTTTTCTGCTTTCCAGGAATTTTGGACGCGTGGGAACGTCGTCGTGGTCCTCGAAACAGGGATTCTCGTAATAAAGCCTTCCACCGACTCGATCATCGGACGAGCTCCACGAGAACTCGTTGGGACTTTTCGTCGTTTTGTTCATGACGAACGCTCGTAGGACAGGATCGTTAGAATGAGGCTGCGTCGTTGCGTTAAGGCGTTGCGTGCTGTAAGCGCCATGCGGATTGCCGTGCCCGTGCTGCAGAATAGAGTGTAAGCTGTCGCATATTAAACTCTTGACTTTGGATCTTACCTTGTTCAAGTTGCGTTTATTGTCTATCGTGCGCGTGACCATGATCTCTTTAGCGCTACCGTCAGCACTAGACAGAGCTGTCGCGAGGCTATTATCGTTCAGGGAGAGGCGAGGAGAGGCTACTACGAGTGTGGCAGTCGTAATCGTAGTCGTAGTCGTAATCGTAGTAGTACTCGTCGTCGTCGTCGTCGTCGTCGTCGTCGTCGTCGTCGTCGTCGTCGTCGTCGTCGTCGTCATTGTTGTCGCGGCGCACAAATCCCCTCGTTAGCGACACTCGCGCGTTCGCGTTTCGGCTCGAGAGTGTTGTGCTTGCTGTTGCCGGGGGTCTTATTCGGCGGTGGGTATATCGGGTGGCACTTGGTGACCGGCACGAAATCCGGCGGACAGTCTACGGCCACCTCGCGATAGGGCTTGCCGCCCACCACGAGAAAGCTGCGTTCCGTTTCGTTATGCTCGAGATCGCCAGAGGCCTCGCTCCTTAGTGTCGAATAGCCACTGGAGATTTGCTGATGCCGCTTCTTCTTGGGTCGCTGGCGGGACGAGGAGGACGAGGAGGAGAGATTGCTCAACTCGATACCGAGAAGGTCATCGGTCGAGCCGGTCCGGATCAGCTCCTCGATATCGAGACTCCGAGTTTTCGTCTTGAGTTTGGCTCGCTCGTCGTTCGGACGACGCTTCGTCGAGCTCTTGCCGGATTTGCTCGCTGGCTCGGCATGACAAGGTTCCGCGTGCTGGTCCTTGACGCGGACAAGCGCGGAACCTTCTTTCTGGTCCTGCGAGGTTCTTGAGATTGAACATTGCTCGTCTATCAGTCTGGTCAGATCGGAGACTTCGTCAGATCGCAGTAACCCCTGAAGATCCTGCAGGTCCGTCAATCCGTAAGCGGGATTATCGAAGGACGTCGTATGACCCGAGTCCCGAGTACGACCAAACAGCGGTGCTACCTTGATGTCGGGTACCACTGTCGATCTACACGGAGAACCGAGATCTATCCTTCGGACATCGTAAGTCGGGGAGTCCTTGTGGTTCTTGCTATGCCTGAGCATTAAACTGGTATCGAGGGGCGCCGTGCTGTCCGATCTGCCCGACGAGCTTCTCGGACTCGCGGAATCGTCGCTACACGTCTTGAGCATGGTGGGGTAATCCTCTTTCGCGAAGGGGTAATCGTCCTCGATGTCGACGCTGGACTCCTTTTGTCCGCCCACGTCCTCGTCGACGTTCGCGTACTCTTCAAATGCTTTCAAGGTGCTTTTCAAGTCGACTGGCGAGCCAGTCGTGATCAGGCTATCGCGATACTTATCGAGTCCCAAGTTCTTCTTGACGGTTTTTACTTTCTCCACTTCCTCCTCCTCTTCCTCCTCCTCCTCCTCCTCCTCCTCTTCCTCCTCCTCCTCTTCCTCCTCCTTCTCCTCGTCTTCGATATTTAGTTGGATTTTCAGCATAGACGGCTCAAGACCGTTGCGGACGTTGATCGTTCTAGCCGTCGCGTCGGTGACGTCGTGCGCGCGATCATTCGCGACAAGTCTAGCACGTCCGTCCGCGATGGTGTAAGTCTTAAAGGTTTCGTTTTTGAGGTTTAGGGAGAGATCGAGATCGCTAGCGCTACGGGGACGATGCTGTAGCTCGTTCCTATAATCGGAAGAGCGGTTCTTTACCTTGTTGGGATAGGCCTTCTGTAGGAGGGTGTCGGGCACATCAACAGGTAACTCCCGGTGATGGCCCAGGGCGCCAGGGGCCCACATCTCATCGGGCCCCAGTCCCTCCTGCGGCTTCTTCGCGTCGCGCGAGCTGCTGTTGTTGTTCTCTTGCAACTGCAGTTGCTGTTGCTGTTGCTGAGAGTGTATGTCCGTCACGCCACTACCGCTACGCCTTCGGGACCTAAAAAATGAGAGAGGAGATTCCACGTCAATGTAACGTCACTATTAATACCACTATTAACATGTACTATTTTTCAAATTAACGCGGCTTCTCGTTGGTAGTATATCGTAATGCGCACGAAACTATAGTATAATAATATTCTATTATATTATCGAAAACTCGATTAGAAAAACTAATAATTAATATCTAATAAAAGACAAAAATATTAAATCAACATTAAACATAGATTATTTATATCGTTCGATACATTTCTGCCGAGAATTTAAGCATATTTTTAATTACGCATCTTTATAAATATTAGTAAGAAACGTAAAATAAAGATAAAATAAAGGTAGTCATAGAATCAAATAGGTGGAAACTTAAGTTTCTATTTTTACGAGATAAATGAATGTTCGAAAAAAACAATAAATAAACGAGTAAGTACATCTTTTAGTATACCGAGCGATGGAAACAAAGTGAAGGATAACTATGTGGTTATTGATATATATATATATATATTTCTCACACGCAACTTGGGTGATTGGTAAATTACCGGCTGTTACAAACATAAAGTAGTACGGGGTTATACTATTATGCATTTGGCAGATAATTAGGTATCTTTAAAACGTAATTCGATGCACGCGGTGAAATATCTGACGACAACGTATTATTAGAAGAGAGGGTCATACTTGCGCGATAAGAAAGTCTCGAGAAATCAATTCCGTTGTGATAGTGGTACTATTTTCTTTAGTACAAATAATGAAAACGGTAACGCTACATGCGGTTAGTGTTTATGTTTCTTCAAAGACAATCTAAACAAATATGCAATCCATCTTTCGCTGGAAAGGTAAGCGCTATTTATCTTAGCGATACCTCTTTTACCCATCTTTCTCTCCCTTTTTCCAGAATATTCCTTCCTTCCATATTTTTCGATTTCGTAAAATGTGACGGTGCTCATACGGAAATAAATTCAGCCACTATATATCACATGACTCTCTCGATAGTGCACGTTACATGATGTCTCAAACGAATGTAAAATCTCCTGGTCGTTCGGTCGTGTGAAAAGTCTCGGGGACATGCACGCCGGACGTGCAACAGACCAGGAAAGAAAAACTTTCTCGATACGATAAATCCAAAACGTATGTATTGCAGGTTGTCAGTCGCCGTTTTATCACGCTCGAAAAAAGAGATCGCGATAATTATTTTTCGTTAAAATAAAATTGCTCTGACTAAAGTAGCTTAAGAGAATCGCATAAAAATCCACAATAAATCTCATATTATCGCGAAATATCAAATGTGTTTTATTCACTCGTCTACTGATTAACTACAATTTTTAGGCAAATTGAGAAAAACATGCTATAAACATGTAATTGGATATCTACTAGATTCTCGAAATTATCATATTTAAATGCGAATTCAATTCTTTGCGCTACAAGTTTAGATGATATTACAAAATGTATCTAAATTCTTTTTGGTTGCGTTGCATCATATCAATCGATAAATATATATAAAATTTTTCGGCAATTAGAAAAAGACGTTTATATTGAGTTAAATATCTAGAGATAAATTTACTGTTTTTTCTGATTTATTGTGTACGACTTGCAATTTTTATTCACGTAAACTAAATAAAACGTCAGTATTAATTCCGATAAGTAGATTTAAATATGATGCACGAACACAATGGAATAAAAATATATCTACAATAAAAGAAAACAACCTTGTCTGTTCATATGTATCATTTTTGAAAAATAAATATTTATGTGTACCGTATAATGCCGTATATTGTTTCACAACATGTATTTGATGTTGAATATTAAAATATTACAAAAAAGGGATGATGATTTATCGCAAGCTTAAATTCAAACGCAAAAATCGAAAAATCTGCGTTTTTCCCAACTTGACGGCGCTAATTAAACATTCGGCGCAATAACTTCCATTTACGAATGCGTGTTTTCTGCTTTGTATCACGGCAGCGCGAGATATTGGAAATTAGATTCGCGTGACAAAGACTGTCCATCTATATACCAGAAGACCAATACCACAGAGCACCAATCCAGGCCTTTTCGCAGATCTGATTACACTGCGGAGCATATCGCTCGGAGTATTCAACACAGGAACGCCATTACACTCGTTTGGCCCTTACGCAAATATGCGAGTGCAAGGGTTCATAGAGCGGACGATAAAGAAGGAGACAATGGAAATCGCGAACAAAGGCGATAGGAAATACGATACCACGATTCAATATATACGTTTGAGATGCTCTACATTTTCGATGGCATCTTATGCAATCAATGCGTTTAATGAGATCTTCAGAATTCCTGCGATCTAGATGAGAGATGCAACCATCGCGTAACCGTTCTATATTTTTCTATATTTAACAAGTATCTCTGTCTATCTCCGTAACTTCCACTCGGCGCTTGGTGTATAAAGAAATTGTAAACGTCGCAGGCAACAATGACGCATTTAATTGCGTATAGAATTGTATCTCTCATTGAATAGTGATAGATGGAGAAGACGAAATATTCGTTTAAAATTTATATAGAATAGTCTAGAAAAGTTTGACAAGCAATTTCTCTAGATAGTTTTCATCTTTGGAGCCCCTCTTTTTTAGAAGCTATCGACCATTTCAGTTTTAAACTGAAGCTGAATTTTAAAGAAATTTACATTTTTAAAATCGCTTCTTTTTTGCAACTGTCGCTCTTCCCGTTTCATAACTCAATTACAGTAAAGAGAAGTAAATTAAGACGGAGAGCGGGATCTGATTTCTGACGTCCTGATGTTCGGGATTTTGCCAGGAAACGCCGCGAGATTTTGTCCCTTTACGCCGTAAGAAACGCCATGAATTGTACTTTCCAATAGTTAGCCGATCGTTAACGCGTAAGCATGGTTTGCACCATTGGGGCATCCGTTCCACTTGTAAAGCTCGTAATGGAAAACGTATGCGGGTCACTGTGCGAGCAGCACATCTGTGATGTGTCTACCGCATCTGGAATAAGCTGATCGGTCTGTCGGGTCTTTGAGAGAAGAGGCCATCTCGATCCTAAAGGGCAGGCCCGATAATGAAAATGCATTTCTAGGAAAAACCGACAGGTGAGGTCGGGCCAATTTCGAATCGAGGCATCGAGAAAACTTTTCGAAACTTGTGAGTGTTCTTTAATTCAGGCCAGGTGCATTCTTTTCCCGGGATCGAGGGAAAAGAAACCGAATCGATAATCCGGTCGAGGAAATGATACTATTTGCTATTCGCAACAAATAACAACGGACGAGAAAAATCATTGTTCCGTGCACAGGAATCCGCGTTTCTGTGTATGCGGAATGCTAGAATGCGTAGAATTCAGCCAAGGGATTAAAAAAAGAAAATGTTACATTGCATTTATATCAATTTGAAAGATGATCGGCTATAAGGTAAATTGATGATAACGATAATAATCTAACTTGCAGCGTGGGCTTTCATCCGTGAGTTTAACTAAAAGCTAAATTGACTCATAAAAGCTATATTACAGCATTATATCTATATGATGCAATCGAAAATAATAATATATAATAATATAGCCTGTAATTAAATCTTTATAAAATATTACATACTTTTCCGTCGTCTATCCCCGGCAAGAGAGAGAGAGAGAGAGAGAGAGAGAGAGAGAGAG